TTCCCGACGGACTTGAATCATTTCTAATACCCCCAACTTTGTGTCATTTTGTATGTGAATTTAATTATGAACGTGAATTCATTCGGGAGTACTCTCCCGCAGAATCCAATTGCTAAGAGTGGGATAGACGAGTCGTTTACGGATTTGTCACTAAAACATGATTACATTTCAACAGCTGTCGCAACGAGCACCACACATTCAGACACATCAATTATTTGCACTGATAGCGTTGCAACAGTAATAAGCAAAATATACATAATGGTAAACGAACAGACAATGTGCAGTTTCAGTACATAAGAAAAGTCTTCCTCTCGAATTCCCATATGAAGAAATATTTCGGACTAGTTACAACTGAAATGATATCAGTTATGGCGATTGAGAGGCGTTAACGGTAATTAGAAAACACTTTTAAAAAAACTATTTTTAAATTCTGTAAATGAGATACTGAATAATGTTGTTGCAGTTTCCATTCTGGATAATTTGAAAACAATTACAAAGAAAGAAATTGTGCCAGATGGAACAATTAATAATAATAATACTCTACGGTATTGATGCCATATTTTGGTGAACCCACCAATAATATCGCTAATTTTTCAAAACGAATGCTTGGACCCGGCTTACAGAACAAATAGTAATTTATGGAAAAGGTAGCTGTATGAATATGAAAATATACCTTACCTTTTTTACATTTTTTCTGAATAGTTTTGGTAGGCTCACAACTTGTCTGGTTTCCCTTTTTCAGAGTCAACGTTCGGCTTCGCTGATTAGTTTTTGGATCACATTCTGACCATGCCCCTTTGCCATATCGACATTCTTCTGAAACAAAAGATTGCATTAGATAACAGATATTATTTTTTTCTGTAATTCGTTTCATTGTTGCCAGAAGGGGTTTGGGCCACCCCCATCTTTCAATTTTTAAATATGGACCTGTATATTTTGTTGTATTTTTTGTATCGTCGACATTCACTTCATACTGAGAAATCAAATTGAATTGTATATTTCCGGATGTTTGGGTAATATTTGATTATAAATGTGTAAATTATTCCATTTTGAATTACGGACCTGAAAATTGGTTGACTCAGTTGAATAAAAACACAATAGCAACTTTTACGTCTCCCTATGTACCGTGAAGTTTTCCGAGAGTTTTTGTTTTGTCATTTTTAGGTACCTATTCATATTTTTTTATTGCTCTGAGCGTTTTCTACAATGAACTTCGAATAAGAAAACCTTTTATGATTATCTGAAATATATCTACATCAAGAATATATTATATGTGTTTTAATAAGCAGAAAGAGAAATGATAGCAATAATAACATCCGTAACGAACACTATGATTGTAATAAAAATGGAAATGAAGTAATTTATATACACAAAAAAATTAATGGCGCAATAAATGTTCGAATTGGAGTCCTTCCATTTCGACACTCTATCTACGAATTTTAATAGCCCTGAACCCGTGTTAGGAATCACACGTTAAAAGGTAAGACCTCGTTAGTCCTTAGCTCGCACAAGTTTGTCAACTTCTGAGAGTTGTCGTTCGTATAGGGGTGACAGCTGATTGATGGAAAAACAGATTTTTAAACAGATATATAGATACATATCTTTGGGTGATCAGCAGAACGGAAGTGTACTCTTATAACACAAGTTATTCCAATATTTCGATAGAATTTATTATCATCTTCAAGGAAAAGCTTTAAAACTTGTGTGATAATAGTACAATACAAAAATAAAAATTATTATGAAAGGGCTCAACTTACTATTAGTGATGATGGCAGTGTCGAAAAGAATGTTATATTTAAACAATTGAAACATGTCAATACAATCAAACAAGTCACTACATCAAAAGAGGTTGATTCCTCACTGATATCTGTCTTTTCCGTTAACCAAAAATATAAAGAAGATTACTGAATTAAATTTACTAAAAATCGTTATTTGTTTTAAAATTATGGATTATCGGTAAAAGCCATGTGTCTGTAGGGACTTTTCCTACCACCGCTTAGTATAAAAACATTTCATTTCTCTATTGTTAAGCAGTCATCCAAATCAAACACTGTAATCGAACACTCGAGAATCCAGTGGTCGAATACCCGAAATTTGTGTTGTCTGGTCTGAGTGTCCGCTTCCGCAGGTGAGAAGAAATCTTAGAAAAATAGGTCTTTTTGAGTCAAGCCTCCGAACTGGTAACATCTCTTTCTCGTGTAGGAGAAACTGCTCGTTTCGTCAAAGCCACGTGGCGTTTTTATATTTTGTGTTTCGTCAGTCATAGTGTTTTAGCGTTAATAAATTTCATTATTGATAAACGTCGTGTGTTAGTTAATAAATTCACCTATCACAGTTCCAAAATGTCCTTTAACCACATGGTTTGTACCACCAGAATTTCCAATCATAAAATACAATGATGATGACGTCATTACTCGAAGATGAGTCGTCTTGCATAATCAACAAAAAACAATTGATCAAAATAAAAAAAACCTCTTTCGAAAATTTATGATAATATTATACGTTCTGTACATTCCAAAATAATTGATTTACTCTATAATATGTATTTTTCGTGGAAAAATGGCCATGTGACCAACTTAATGGTGAAAACCGCATATCGATATTTATCATCGTTTCTAAGTTACATCATGTTTTTCAAAAATGTGCATTATCGAAAAGTTGCTGTTACTATTTTCCTGTTGAAAATGTTTCCTTTCTATGAAAACATTCCCAAAGCAATTTTGTACGTAGAATTCAATGACGTAAAAAACTTTTCTCAAATGAGATATCAATACATATTGATGGAAAACATTTTTTTTACACCCTGTACATTCCTGAATATTTTAAAAGAGCTCAAAATTACTTTCCAAAAATGTACCACACTTGATGTTTTGCTAGAATCACCTTTGAAATACAGAGCATTTACGTTTTTTCATGTAGACTTTGAAACAAATACTTTGATCAATTAGGCTTTGAACGATGAAGCGATAAAACAGCAAGAAATTGTTCAGTAGTAGTTATCAAATGTTGAGAAAGCTCTTCAAAGCAGTGATAACAGTTTGTACTGTATTTACTACTAATACATTAAATAATGGTAAAGAACAAAAAATTAAATATATTTCTTAAGAGAAGATGTTCGAAATGTTTACCAGCTTCTCCTACACACAGGCGACACCATTTCCGAACTTTTTTTGCCGAAATGATTGATTCAATAGGAGTGAGAGAATCAAAACTACCAATTCGTATCTAGAATTGGTCGGTAATTTGAAAATATGATTGTTCAATCTTCCCCAGAGGTAAAAGTCCATATGCGTTAGGTCCGGTGACCTGGCCGGTCAACAGTTGGGTCCTTGGTTGGCTATCCAATTATTACCAGAAATTCGCAGCCAAAAAGTTGGTGACAATTGCAGCACTACTCACATAAGCTTCGAAAGATATTTTTGTCAGGAAAAAAGTTACAGCAACTTTTCGAAAATGTACATTTCAAGCGGTTTTCACCATTAAGTTTGTCATACAATTTGACCCCCACACACGGCCATCAGTTTTCATCTATATATTTTAAAAACAGGAGTTTCCCTTTAAAGTGTCCAATTTGGCCCACGCTGTACGTTTAAGCGAGGGCCGAGCAATTCGTCAATTTCATATAGTTTGTCCTTTCACAGAATTCATCGTTGGAATAATCGTTTCTCTGAAAGCTCTCTGTTGATTAAAGTCTCGAGAGAACACAAACTATTGGTATTTTGAATGAGATAATTATTTGTTCGTTTAACTCGTCAATTTACTTTCTGTTAACGAAGTCTGGTTGAAAACAAGACGTCGCGTCGCGTAATTTTGAAACAAACCATTTCAATTCATTATCAGATAAAAACGAAATTTTTGAGAAGTATAATGAAGGTCAATTTTTTTGCAGAAATCAACAATAATTATTTATTATAATTTACTGATTTGAATAATAAACATGCTGAGGAAATTCAATTCTATTATGATCAATTTATCGAATTTATTATGGAATCTTAGTGAACAATCGAAATAAAAACTCTAAAGTGAACCATACAAATTCTTCTTCTTCTCTTCTTGTAATGGCCTCAGCTACCAGGATTATCAGGCCAGTGGGTAACAAATTTGATACTTTAGAGCCGAACGTGGCCACAATAAAGTGATCCTGGGACGGACCCATCCACATTCGGTTAGGGAGTATGGCTAAAAAGTGAGAAAATCTTGGTAAGATACATTGTGTAGGAGTCATTCAATGGTCCATGCACTTAAAACGGTGGGTCACAGGCGAAGCACAAAAAACTAAAAGACTGATCACCGCACAGAAGCACCAAACACAAAATAATTACAGCTTTAAATGGGAGGAGGAAAGGAAGGAATGTATTGCCTCAACATTAGGATAGTTCAAAAAATCGAATAGCAGGTCATTAAGAGATATCGGACCAGGTCGATTATGGGTAGTCTGAAGAGAATTATGAAGTCTGAGGATATTGTCTTGATTGTGTGGGCATGAAAAGAAGATATGCCACAGGTCCTGTCGTTCCCCGCACTCGCATCTGTCATGAGGTTTCACCCGAATTTTATGTAAATGTGCCATGGATAGGCAATGGTTGCTCCGCATTCTTGTGATAGTAGTGATGATATTTCGAGAACATGAAGTGAAAGTAGTGAACCAGGGCTTCTTTAGCGGATGTGGAATCGAAGAATAATATGAAGTGCCCTTGTATTGACCTTGTCGGGAGTATTCAGTTGACCAGCTGATCCAAAGATTCGCTTTAAGTTCAGAGTGGAACTCTCGAAAATCCGCTTGGGGGAAGTTGGTGAGATCTTTGCTGCGCCCTAGGGAAGCCAGGCAGTCTGCTTTGTCATTGCCTGATATGCAACAATGGCTAGGTATCCACACTAAAGCAATATCAAAATCTTGATCATGGGCTCGAAGCATAAGGCGTTTAGCCTGGAGTGATAACAGGTCCATCTTGGCCGAAATGTCTTGGCGTGATATTTTGGACAGTGCACTCTTGGAGTCATCATCTCTCGGTCGGACCATCATCCTGGCTTGTGCGAGGCTGTACTGCGGCCCTCCGAATCCGGCCCAGTACATTCCCTGATAAAGGTTACTCTCCGGAAGCACGCCATTTAAATATTTGCCATTCAGATTGCTGGTATCGCACCCTCTGTACCACCAGGCGCCAGCTAAATAGGGGCAGATAGCATTATTGGAGGTTAAAGGTGTTGTTATGAGGTGTCGGTGGATGAGTACGAGTATATTTGATTTGGCGGGGTGCTTTTTCAAAGGAAGATACTGTGAAATATATTCATGGAAAATATAATTGAATCTAATGAACCATATTGATAAGGTGAACTTCTAGGGCACATGCATTTTCTCGGAATTGACTATAGTTATCTGTGTCAGTTGTCATGTTACTTTGATTGAATTAATTATAAAAAACTGCATGGAATCTGAATACAATGAAAATTATTTTCAAATAGCAAATATAACACGCAATTCAAACATAAACTATGTCTGGCAACTGCCACCAATGACAACATAACGAGTAGCCAGTAGCCAAAATATGAATAATAAACATGCTGAGGAAATTCAATTCTATTATGATCAATTTATCGAATTCATTATGGAATCTTAGTGAACAATCGGAATAAAAACTCTAAAGTGAACCATACAAATATCATATGACAACTGATATAGAAGACAAAACCCAGAGTAACCAACCCATGAATAATAAATATGCTGCAATGGAAATCTTATTCCATTATGGTCAGTTCCTTTGGTTTTTCCTCAGAATTAGGTGAACTATCAAACTGAATGAATAATATCATGACAAATTATACTAATTACAAAACACAGAGAAGCTAACCTATAAATAATAGATGTGACGCAAACGGAATTCTGGTGAATTCCATAGATTTCCCATCAAATCTCAGGGAATAATCGGAGTAAAACTCGAAACTGAACAAAGAAAATATCACATGACAACTGACAACAATGACAAGACACAGAGTAGCCAACCCATGAATGATGAATGTACTGCAAAGGAAGATCTAATCCTTTATGGTCAATTCCATATATTCCCTATCAAATCTTGGTGAACAATCGAAATAGAAATCTGAAATGAATAATATCGTATAAAAAATGACACTCATGACAAAACCCAGAGGAGCCAATCTATTAGTAATGAATGTATTGCAAATTTCAAATCATAGCCTATCATTTTCAATTTCTTAGATTTCTTATCAAATCTTCGAGAACAATCGGAATGAAACTCTGAAATGGATGATACAAATATGGTAAGACAACTGACACTAATGACAAAACATTGAGAAGTCAATCTATGCATAATCAGCTTATTGCAAATGAAATTTTCATTCATCATGGTCAGTTCCGTAAATTCCTCATCAAATCTTGGTGAACAGGTGTTGGTCAGCAAATACAACTCTGAAATGAACAATACAAATCTCATATGACAACTGACACCAATGAAACTGCTCCAAGCAAAATTATTATCTGATATAGCTCATTATTTGGGATATTTGATATGGAAGATCAGATTGTTGAAATATTACAGAGAAAAATGTATTTTAATACAGGGCTTTTCATGATGAGCGTTAATTAGCCGTTTCTGACAAACTATTTAACAGATAAACCTGAAAATTTCACAGTATGCATAAATCAATATGACCTACACGCCTACACGACTTATACATACTGTGGAATTTTCAGTTTGATCCGTTGGATAGTTTGCCAGAAACGGCTAATTACCCTCATCATGAAAAACCCTGTATATGGCCTATTTGACAATTTAATCGACAACTTATTCATTTTTTTGTGCGACCTCAGTATATATAACTATTTGAACTGAATTAGCAAAAATTGGTATATATACTTTTTGGTGAATGTATACACCGTATTTGTCTGTATTTTTTCAAAATAACACTGCACAAATAACTTCCAGTGGGGTAATGAAAAAGTATAGTATTTTGCACCAGAGAAAACAAAATTATGATTGAAATGCTCCTGATTGGTTTGGTTGATGTACATAATCTTCTCAATGTCGCATGATGGATTCTGAATATGAAATATCCATTCAAAATTGATTTGAACAGCTCTAATGAATGACCACCAACAGGGTCTTCATCATTAATGTGATCATAGCAATTTGATACTCACTGTGATGCCAATGAGCAACCAACTTTGTTGTTTTGGTAGTTGCCTATGAAAGCTGAAAATTTGATTAGAACCATTGGATTGTTTACAAACCCAACAGTTAAGAACCATCATCACTTTCTATTATTCTTTCACTATATTTAACCCAAATACAACTAGAAAATAACTAACTCAAAAAATTTCATGCACGAACAACTGTCAACACAACTGTTGAAATTTATACACAGTAAAAAACGACCACACAGGCATTCCTTCAACAGCATTGTCTCGTGTGGAATTGCAACTAGTTGTCCAGGGTTATTTGGAAACAACAAATGACTTTCACTAGTCCAGATTCTGAAATGTTTGTTGTCGATTTCTATATCATGAGAAACGTCATGATTTTAAGTTACTGAAAGGAACTTGTTGGCGATAACTCCCAGCTCAACAACACGAGTGGGTCCTGGGCAAAGATAAAGTCGGACGTGGACAACGCGTACAAAAAATTTGTCAAATCTGCTGAACATGACATCAAAGACAATCCGAATAAATTCTGGGCATATATAAATAACATAAAAGGTTCTACCAGCATTTCGGACAGCATGTCCTACGAAGAACAATCTTTAGATAATCCTTCAGATATTCTTAATAGCATTCCTGATTTTTTCTCAAAATCGTATATCCCCAGCTCTCCAACCGAATTGATCGATAACTGTCCATATTCACAAGTTTTGTGACATTCCTTACTTCGAAGAAAATGAAGTGCTGCTTTGAAACAGATAAAACCAAAAATGACAACTGGTACCGACAGCATCCCTGCACTGAATGTCATAGATTGTGCATATGGATTGGCTCGTCCTTTGACAATATTATTGAATATCTGCATCAAAACTAGTACTATCCCAGATCTATGGAAATTATCTGAAGTTCAGCCAATTTATAAAAAAAGGGACAAGTTTGATGACGGTAATTATAGACCCATATCAATAATATGCAACTTCGTCAAAGTGTTTGAAATCCTCATCTATAGCAGATTATATGCTCATTTGAGCAATCAAATTACACCACTTCAACATGGTTTTATTGAAGGTCTCTCGACAATCACCAACCTTTTCCATGTCACCCAATATATATGCATTGGTGTATTCTTTCATTAGTCATAATATTATAGTTTATGGTCCCGCTACTGGTAGCAGAAGAGTCGTCATAGCAAAGAAAATAACCTTACGATTGATATTCCACCTGAGTTTTCGAGAATCTTGCAGAGATGTTTTCAAAGAAAAGTGAATATTGACATTCACGAGCATCTATTTGTACAAATTACTAATATTTGCCTACTTTCCTAAAAACCATTTATTCAAAATGCGGATATCCACCACTATCCTACCCGTCAAAGAAACCAATTCAGATTGAAAATTGTCAACTACTCGACCTATAAAAAATCCCCANAATAATTCAATTATTGGCCCACATATTCTGCAAACATTTTCAATGTACCTTGACCAACCTCTACAGTGGTTAATCCTTTCTATCTGCCAACAAACATCACGTACAAATATTCTGAAACGTTCATCTCTGCATAACATGTGTGTCAAATGCAATTCTGCAAGTTATCAGCTCAACATTTTTTACTGTTCTATCTCTGAGATTTGGTCTTTTTACTTCAGCTAATTGTTTATTATAACTTATTGTAATTGTATTGTAATGTGATATGACTTTTATCCCTGTTCTATAGTTGGGTGTAGAACAATGTATAGATAAATAAATGGATAAAAGAAATATATTTAGGTCCATGGGTTCATTGGTTGAGATTTTTTCACTTCCACTTGAGAATAAGGGGAAAATATTATTTTCCAGAAAAATTTTTGCCAAAAAATTATCCTATCAAATTTGTCTATTTCTAGTCATGTGTGTCGAAATAACCAATGAAACCATCATTACACTGATAACTTTTAGTATATAAGGATTAACCAGACTAGACTAGGTATCAATTTTCTTCTCCTGAGGATGCTAACTTTGTTGGCGAAACGCGCGTCGAGTGCAAAAGTATCAGTTTGGTGTTAGGACAATTGATCTCGAAAAAAGTTATTCAGGAAACTCTTAGTTTGTAAGATGCAGACATGCTTTATTCAAATCAAAGCCATATCGAATGTATTTTTTATAAAATCGAAATGGGGCTATTGAAAATTGGACACAACTGATGCAACGTTTATTTGTTATTGACCCTGTAAGTTCATGAAAGTTTGTGTTTCGAAGACATAAATATCGACATAATGAAAATATGAAACAAAATTCCTAATATGTATGATAATTAAACACAGTTGAAATCACACTTTTTCAATCAATAACAAACTATTCTCACTTCATTCAGGTGAACTATTTTATTGATAATGATGTGTTTCACTTTAAGTTACGATTTTTTTTCGAATATATATCTCATGTAGTCATCCTATACAGGGTGAAATACGAATAAATTCTGCATCATGTGTGACCAATTTTTGATAACCTAATTTCGATTTTGTAGAAAACCCCATATTTATGAGGGTGTTACTCTGAACAAAACATGCCTAGAATAAAACATTGTCAAAAGTGATATGCAACAATGCTGCAATTCAGTGAAAAAAAGAAAATAAAAATAATCTGCAACTGAGATTCTGCATGTGAACTAAAAATTGTATTCGAAAAAAGTATTTCCGATAACTTTTCTCAATATTTTCAGAAAAACTTCACTTTCGGAGTTTTCCTTGGCAAAAACTCAAATTTGGCAAACAATGCGAATCCCTTCTCTACGGTTTCCTTGGTTATAATAATAATAATGGTCTTTATTGGGTGGAATAGAATATAACAACTGAGAGGCGAAGTCCAAAACTGCAGTGTAGAACACTACAGGTTTGTTCTACCATTTCGATCAAAGACAAATTTCGCAAAAAGCTACTATTGAAAAAAATCCATATGCTGTGTACTTTCTCGGACACGTGTACTTGAATAGAACTGGCCTTTACTTGATGGGATTCCATGTCAGAACTTATCACTTTTTTTTAATTTTGATCTTCACCGTGAAGGGTTCACAAACATTTGTTTTATATCTACTGTATAAAGTGAGCCAAAGTCACTATAAGTCAGTGTTCTACAAATAATATTTCTTGGTAATATACGATTTTTTTACAGTATGATGAGTACTTTTTAAATCGCCAGAATAACTTCGAGAAATATCCGTTATTGAATCTGGAGGTGGACTATGTGGACGCTAATCATCAATAGAAATCGCCGTATGGTTTTCCGGGTATCCAGTATAAATGGTTGGTAGAAAATTATGCTTGAGCCTGTAGAGTTAGTTTTGTTATTTTGAATTTTAAAGTAATTTGGGGAACAACAGTTAACGACAGTTTCACTAGTTCGGATTTCCATTGTCTACTATATAAAATGATTTGAAATCCCTGAAACAACTAAAAAAGAAGAATTGAAAATGAATAGTTGAAAATAACAATTATATTAAGCAACAATAAACCTGAAATGAAATGATAGTGAAATAACCTACAAGTAAAAATATAATAATTGAATAAATAAAAATTAAAGGAATGAAAAAAGAAAATAATAAAAAAATA